GATGGGATTTTCTTGGAACCCACAAAGATAGATAGTAGGATCTGGTCTCTATCTCCCTCTGGATCCTTTACTTGTGCATCCTTCTTTAAAGCCCTAATACAACCAGAAACTCCTATTGGATTGTCATTCCCTATCAAGGAAGTGTGGTGTAAACCTATACCTCCGAGGGTTGGGAGATTTTGTTGGGAAGTTTTCTTTGAAAGAATCAACACAGGTGACCTACTTCAAAGAAAAAGACCCAATAGCTATTTATCTCCACACTAGTGTGTTTTATGCAAAGCTGCTGGTGAGTCTAGGTACCACTTACTAATATCTTGTGTTTTGGCAAAAAATATTTGGGATTGGTTTGTTTCTTTATTTGGGTGTAGGTAGACACCTCCAACTAGTCTACAAAGCTTGTTTTCCTCTTCACCTATTGAATGCTCAACGAAAAGATCAAGAATTATGTGGAGATGCGTGAGAGCTGCTGTTTGTTTGACATTATGGGAGGAAAGAAATGCAAGGATCTTCTCGGAAAAGGAGAGAGGCTTGGAAAATATGGTAGAGTTGATTCATATTAGAGTAATACACTGGCTGAAGACAATGAAGGAGTTTACAGATTTTTCAACAAACGATTTGCTAAGAAAGTGGAAAGAAGTTGCTAGCTCAGCTACAAGGAAGAAGACTTTGAATATCATGTGGAACCCTCCACCTCCTAGTTTTATCAAACTAAATTTTGATGGCAGTAGCATGGGGAAGCAATGTAATAGCTTTGTTCTCTAGTCCAATTGGAGTGGGAGACTCCTTGAGGGCTGAGGTGTTAGCAGTGTTGGAAGGGGTGCAAAGGGCCAAAGAAATTGAAGTTAAGAAACTGATTATAGAAGGAGATTCTGCAGTTGTTGTGGATTGGTTGAAAGAAGACACTTCCAAGATGTGAAGCTACAGTAATGAGAAAAGAAAATTCAAGTTGCTGATTAAGGATATGGAAGTCCTATGTACTTGGGTTAAAAGAAATGCTAATTCCTTTGCTAATGGATTGGCTAGGCAAGGACTTTTTAGAAATTCTGGGTTTTGGGCTCAATTGTAAGGTTCTGAGTGTTTAAATCAAATGTATTTCTGTTCTGGGGAGTTAAGCATCCTTAGCTCCTCTTCCCTGTAACTTTTTTCCAATATTAATGAATTCTGTGGTTATTGATCAAAAAATAAAAAGTACTACTCTACCAATATTTTTATCAATAAACAAAGACTTTATTGGAAGGATTCTTAAGTCATTATACGGAGAAAAGAAGTTACAAACATGACCTCCCCTGATCTTTTTCTTTTTTTCTTTTTTTTGAGAAAAGAGAACTTATAAAAAGAAAAGAGTACATGACATGATAAACAACAAAACAAAAACAAAAAAAGGATTCTCGAGGATTACACAGGCATGGTCCAATTACTATACAAAGTATCCAAATGGGCCCTGGATTTTGCAAGATCATCTGCTATTACATTTAGTTCCTAGCCTTTGAGAAAAGAGCGATACCAAAATATCTGAATGAGCAACATGCAAAATACCTAGAAGAATGAATTTGCGGATTATCCTATCCTCATTCATGTCGTCAATTGTTTTCTTTGCTAGATGTCCACATGTAGAAAATGTTACAAAAGAATATACCTCAAAATAGGACTTGTAGAAGGATCCCCCAAATCCAGCACACCATGACATTCCAAATTCTGCTTCATTATGTCCATCTAGACAAGAAGATTAACAAATTAGCAAAGCATTAGAGATTAAAAGTAAGGGCCCATTTCTTGGTGCAATGGTAAAACCTGGGCTGACAAGCAGAAGTCTAAGAGTGACCACTTTGTGCCAAAAAAAAAGCCCAGATAGGCAGGATCAACAATTTATGGCCCATTATTTAAAGCTTAAAGAAATGGTTCTTTTGCTATAACCTCAATCCTTGCTATGATAAGAAACATACTGAAATACCATATGAATAGGAGCACATAATTTTCATCTTTAAGTCATTTTTTCAATACAAAATTTATAATAATGTATTTTTGGCAGAATATATGTTTAATCAAGGAACACAAAGTTCAATGTTTCTTCAATCAGATAAGATCTTCCAATTATATAGAATCTATGGAGCTCCCTTTCCAAGCATAGTTGTCAAGGTGACGCCTAGGCAACAAGACACCACATAATATTTTTATATTTCTATTTTATGTTATTAATAGTAGTACAATAAATATTATTAGACTAAATTATTCATATTATGTATTTATAGTATTAATGTTATTTTTATTTTTATACTTGTTTCTTTTTATTCTTTTCTTATTTGTTTGTGTTTAATTGACACAGAAGTCAGCATAGTCTTGAACCCTTCAGGACTTTAAAACTTGAATTGATATGAAATAACTTGAGGATTTTATCCAATTGACACAAAAGAAAAATCAATAGGACTTCTTTGTAGGAACAATACAAGGGCTTAATCCTTATAGTTTGTATGTTTCCTTTCTTATTTTTTTCCCTTATAGTTATGTTGATTTTTATCTTTTGATGTGGGCTTTATACTTATTTCATGAGGATTATGGTAATTATTAGTTAAAACTTAAAAATTACTTCTTATTACTAAGAAACATAAGGGAACTACCCTAGGGTTTATAATTTTTTATTTTAAAAACTCATTGTCTAGGTGGGTGCCTAGGTGACTAGGCAACAAGGCGCTCCCCTATCACCTAGCTTTGCCTTGACACCTTGAAAACTATGTTTCCAAGTCCATGTGGTAGTTAACAGATCTCCAAACCAACCCCACAACCTAAACTCTTGGCACATAGTTCTACTTCCATCTTCTCTGCCCAAATATTTCTCATAAATCACTTTCCTCTGTAACCCAGAATTTTCCTCTTTTTATGTCTTCCAATGCCCATCATCCCCATGCTCACATTTATAAACAACTAAGCACTCCATTAAATTATACTTTTTGTTCAATTTACGTCCTCTTTGATATAGAATAATGAGCAATGACTCAAACCATTACCAACTTCCAACTTATCTGCAATAGCATGAGACTCAAAACAAATGACTACTAAAACAGACATTAGAGAGATAAAAACTTAGTAACAATAATTCATCTCCAAGCAGAAGTAGCTAGCTGGTTTCCCTAGGAGTGCAAGTCGGGCCATGTTAGGTCAGACTGAGGTCAACCCTAACCCAACCCAAGCTGCTGAACCCAAAGTTAATAGGGATTGGGTTAGGTTCGGGTTGGCCTGACTTCTCTACTTTCTTTTGCCAAATGTTTTTATTTACTAGGCACAAATGTTGAGGTCGATTCAGTTTTAACATTATTATATATAAAATGACGTAGTTATCATGCTTTAGAAAAAAATTCCTTTAAACTTAAAATTGTTGGCATACATATATACATGCATATTAGATACATATTTACATGCATACGTTTATGGATTCAGAGTTGCATATATACATACATTCATATGAATACATGGGCATGTGCATATATACACAAGTGCTTACAAAAATACATGTTTATAAAAATTTTTCCAGATACAAATATGAAGTTAAGTTGGGTACGGGGGTTGGCCAAGGTCCAATCCAAAGTTAAGTCAGGTTCATACTTTTCAACCCTAACCCTAACTTCAACATGATCCAACCCAACCTGTTTTTTTCAGGTTGGGTAAGAGCTAACCTGGCCCAAGTTGCAGCCCTAGGTTTCCCAGAGGTAGTCACCCAGGAAACAACACATTCATTTCAGCATACAATTTTGTAGTTTAATCAATCAAGTCAAAGCTTCAACATACCTAAAAAAGAGTCCCTAATATGAATCTAAACTAAAAGCCTGTCAATACATCAAACAGGAAGGTATTTCCTCCATCTTTCATTACTAAATTAATATTCTTAAACATACAATTGCAAAATGTATTAGATCATGATCATATACAATTTGTATCCTGTTCAATCTGACAAATTTTCAAATCCCATGTAAGTCATTTTAGCTTATCTCATTAAGAATTTATAATATTGAAGTCCAGCTGAATCAATTAGTTACATAATGAACCAAATCCAGTTATACTAAATATTGTATGCACATAATCTTAGTATCTTTTGAAATTATCTGTCATGTTTTAACATACCTACAAATAAGAAAGTGGTATCCTTGAGTGGCTCATTGCATGCTCCATTACTGGACATATTTATATAGAAACAAATCAAGAAGCTCTAACAAGAAATGACCTAAAATATTTGTAAAGTTAACAAATGGCTAATCTTCTGTGCCACAACCACAAGGTCATGGCTTAAACTCCCCTTCCTTTAAAAAAAAATGTTATCATACATCTATCTATAAAGCTGATTACTTTTCTATTTTCATTTGACCCGAATAATAAACCACCAGATCTTCTAAAGTGTTAACAAACTCTGGTTGATCTCATACAATTAAAAGAAATGCTTAGTTTAAGATGACGCATCCAGTCCAGGTACCAATCTAAGAACCTGATCCAACTTGGACTTACAGTAGCATGCTGGGTCCAGTATAAGAGGGTAACCATTCTTGTCAGAGCTGATATTCCCACTCCATAAATCTCCATGTAGGAGGCATGGTTCAAGAACAGCACCTTCAAATAAAGGTCCCATATTCTTCACAAGTCTTTGTCCTGTTAAAAATCAAGAGAACAGGCATGGAAATAAATTATCTTCAACATGAATACAAGTAGAATAAGATGTCCCAAAAAGTATACAAATCTGCAACAGTAAAGCTAGCTCAGTTGAGCTGAGCATGAACTATGGTGGTCATGGTTCGCTACGGACATATAAGGATACATATAGTTTACTTTCAGACATACATATTTAAGTAGAGAATGGGCTTTTTACATTTAAACATTTGGGTCTATATCTGCCCAATAACTTCAAAGCCTATTATGTACAGAATTTATGTGATCCCAGATGAACAACCAATGAGCCCAGCCCCCAAGATATTCGGTTGGCACTTCAGGCTCATAATGAGACCAAGCCAAACCTAAACCTGATGATGAGTGGCAAATCTGAGAATTGGACACAGCTTAGTTTGGCTCAGATTCACTACAGGCCTATCTGTGTGTAACAAAAAGGCAGTAAAATTTGAAAATCTCATAGAAAGAGAGATTCCAAAAGGAAAAGATCAAGTTCCATTAACGTAACAGCAAAAGATTCATCTTATTGGCATCTTGCACAGCTGATGAGCACATCAGACATGTTCAATATGCCATACTTCAATAGGAAAAAAACTAATTTATCCTTCTCTCTCTCTCTCTCTCTCTCTCTCACACACACACACACACATAAATGAATGTGATAGAAATTGATATCATGTAAAAAGTTTGTATTACCACTAAATGCACAACCAAATAAATGTTTTGAGCATTTCATGATGGACACAATCAGTAATTAGTATTTTTATCAAGTGGTCTAACATTGACCTACTCATCTATGCCCCAGTGATATTGCTCTAATGCATCTGAAACTAATAGAAGCAAAGGCAATATGAAAATCATTATATTGTAGAGACAGTGAAATGTAGCCGTAGGGCTATTTTGTTTTTATCAATAACAAGAAACTTTATTAAAGATGTGAAACTATGTGAAGCTTAGGTACAAAGGGGAGGTAAAAAGACTTAGCTCCCCACCAAAGAATACAAGGAAAATTCAAAAGTTAGCCCAAAAAGTCGAAACCCTATCCCCCCTTGCTTTGCTAACCCATCAGCAAAAGAATTAGCAGTCCTCTTCACCCAGTTGTAATGAACCACAATATCCCTACTCAGCCAGTTAAATTTATTCTTCTCATTGTTATAACTCCATAATCCGCTGCCTCCCCCCTTTAGCCACCTAATCACCACCTCCGAGTCACCTTCAAGAACCAAACATCTGATGTTCAACTCCCTTTCTCTTTGGATACCTTCTAGGGCTGCGAGGATCTCAGCCCTAAGAGAGTCTCCTTCCCCAATTGGGCCTGAGAACATAGCAATAATAGCCCCCACCTCATTCCTGAATACTCCCCCAATCCCAAAAGGCCCTGGGTTCCTTATACAGATACCATCAAAATTCAATTTTATGAACCCAGAAGGAGGGGACCACGAAGGACTACAGGTCCTCTTACAAAGGGCAGAGGAGGTTATCTCCTTCCAATTTCTCACCACATTAGCCACAGAATAATCTGAGAACAATTCCATAGTTTTCAACCAATGTGCCACCCTTAACAGGATTAGATCTAATAAGTTTCCAATGGTTCTTTCCTTATCTGAAAATATTCGTGAGTTTCTTTCTTCCCATAGAGACCAACACACTGCAGCCCTAATACTTCTCCACATAGTCTTCCCTCTCTTCTTCGGCCATCTGAAAAAAGAGGGAGAGAACAAGCTTTGGACACTCCCAGGGGGAATCCAAACACACCCAAAAAGGGAAAAGACCACCACCAAACTGATTTGGCAACCGAACAAGTGACCATAAGGTTGTAACCAGTTTCCCCATCAACTTTACAGAGAGTACATCTATTAGGAAGTAAACAAGAGTTGGGTCTCTTCTTCTGAAGTAGGTCATTTGTATTAATTCTTTCCAGGAAAGTTTCCCAACAAAAACTACCAACCCGAGGAGGAATGGGCCTACTCCAAATTTCTTTAACCGGGAAAGACAACCCAATGGGATCAAAAGGCTGAGTTAAAGTCTCGAAAAATGAGGCACAAGAGAAAACACCTGAAGAGGAGGGAGCCCAAAATCTAGTGTCCTCCTTAATGGGATCCAAGAAGACATTTTCAAGGATGGCTAACAAAGACAACATGTGGTCCAAGTCTGTGTCCCTAATTGCCCTTCTCATCCCTAGGTTCCACCCAAACCCTAAAGGAGAGTCTGAGGGGGTTAAGAAGGAAGAAATTGGTTCATTTTTCAAATCAGAAAGAGCATACAAAGAGGGGAATTGGTCCATTAGAGGTGAGTCCCCGACCCAAAGTTGTTCCCAAAATTTTATTTTATTACCGGAGTTAAGACCATACCTGATACAAGGGGAGAATACTGGAAGCAATTTGTGTATGGTTGACCAAGGAGAAGCGGCTGTAGTCCTTACCAAGATTCCAGGTTCCCAACCATTGTCTTCCAACCCATGTATACTAGCCACAATCTTTGTCCACAACTTGTCTCTTTCCAACGAAAACCTCCATAGCCATTTCCCCGACAATGCCATGTTCCTCTTCCTAAGATTCCCAATCCCAAGACCTCCAAGCTTTTTACCTCTAGTTACCACCTCCCAACTCACCCTATAGTCCCGCTTCTCCTCTCCAGGCTCCCACAAGAAATCCCTCATAAGCTTTTCCAAAGTGTTAGAGACCTTTGTGGGGATCTCAAACACAGATGGGAAGTACACAGGAATATTAGCTAGGGTTGATCTAATCAAAGTGATTCTCCCCCCAAAGAAAGATAATTTTTCCTCCAAGAGGCAAGCCTTTTCCCAAATCTCTCCACCACCGGGTTCCAAAAGCTTACCTTCTTAGGGTTATCCCCCAAGGGGAGGCCTAAGTAAGCCATCAGCCAATCCGAGGTTGCACACCCTAAGACATCTGCATACTCTCTAAGCTCCCTCTCCTCCAGATTCACACCCGCCAAACTACTTTTATCCAAATTCACCTTGAGATTGGATACCCGCTCGAAGAGTTGTATTGCCAACTTTAGGTTCCGAATCCACTCAATATCCCCACCTTCACAGAAAAGGATAGTGTCATCTGCGAACTATAGATGAATAAGAAGTATCTCCTCCCTTCCTACTCTCCATCCTTTTATTAAATTCCTTGAATCTACTCTCTGAATTAATCTCCCAAGTACATCAGCAATCAGAGTGAATAGGAAAGGGGATAGTGGATCACCTTGTCTTATTCCTCTCGAGGCAGGGAAGAAATCCACCACAGTTCCATTCACCAAGATAAAGTAGTGGCAACTTCTAATACAACCCTAAATCCAATTACACCAACTGTCTCCAAAGCCAAAACTTTTCAACACCTTCAACAAGAAGGACCAATCAACCAAGTCATAAGCCTTCTCCAAGTTCAGTTTACACACCACTCCTTTCTTCTTGGATTTCCCAAAACTCTCCAACTCTCATTTGCAATCAAGATTTGAATAGTAATTGGTCTTCCCATCACAAAAGCACCTTGGTTAGGTGCAATTATAGAAGGAAGAACCTTCTTTAACCTTAGAGACAACACTTTTGCGATTATTTTGTAAACTGTTCACCAAACTAATAGGTCTGAAGTCCCTTGGTTGTGAAGCCTCTTTCTTCTTAGGAACCAGAGCAATGAAAGTGGAGTTCAAGCCCAGGTTGATTATTCCCCTTCTGTGGAACTCCTCAAACACTGACCTAATATCTTCCTCCACAATACCCCAACAATCTAGCCGTAGGGCTATTTTTTGTACTTTTACTTTTCTTTTCTATATATCTCTCTTTGTATTATATCTCTCATGTATATTAAGGGCAGATCTGTCCTTTTACAACTTAATATAAATATTTCTTTTAGGGTATCGACTGACACAAGTTGTCACACCCACCATTCAGTTGTGTTGTCTCTCTCTCTTTCTCTTTCTCAGTTTTTCGATCCGACTCTGACATGGTATCATAGCAGGTCACGATCTGATCTACGAGTGACTACTTCCTCACCTCTTTCTTATCTGTTATCTAGAGTACTCCCTAACAGTATTTGGGAGACTCTTGAGTGTTCTTAAATCCGATTTCTGAAGCTGCTTTTAATCAGAACTCGACAGACTTTGTTCCTGGACTGCTACGCCACCAGATTTCTCTTTTGGATTGGATCTCCCTCCAAAAGCATCGGATCAGGCTGAAACTTTAGATCTAGTGTCGCCCAGGGTAGATCTATTGTTTCCAATTGGTTTAGTTTGAATCGGATTTGATCTAGAAGAGTTTTGAGCCACTTCAGAGTTCGGCAGACCCTTACAGTTTCCTTTTCTGGACATTGACTGAAAGGTACTTCATTATTCTACTGTTTTGAACACTTCTCTCTGCGGTTTTTCTTGCTCTTGTGATTCAATGGCATCAGAAAGAATGGAAGTTCTCCCCATCAAGTTTAATGGTACGAACTATGCACTTTGAAAATTCAATTTCCAATTCCATGTCGAGGCGAAAGGTCTCTGAGGATATTTGGATGGATCAGTAATTAAACCTAATGATTCGGACATCAAGGGTCTTAATCAGTGGAGAATTGATAATGCAAAAATTGCATCTTGGATCTTAGGATCCGTTGAAACTAACACTGCAATTCCTATGACAGGATATAGGACTGCCTATGAGATGTATGAGTATCTTGAAAGAGTATATCAGCAATCAAACACCTCAAGACAGTATCAGATAGAGGCTGACATCTTCTCCTATTATCAAGAAGAAAGAAAGGTCCAACAATACTATGCCGGGTTTATTAACCTTTGGACCGAATATGAGCTTGTTCACATGGGGAATGATCCTTTAGAATGTTGTGTGAAGTATATGAAGGAACATTTCGATAAAAAAAAGATTATCCACTTCCTAATGCATCTCAGACCTGAATTCGAAGTTGTTAGATCAAATATCCTGAGTCAAGGAACACTTCCCGACTTGGATACTATTCTTGGTGAAATTCTAAGGGCTG